GTGGACAATGTGCGCGCGGTGGGTGCGCCTTTTACTTTAGGAATAGGGGCGCACCCACTAATCGCGCGCTTGCGTCAGCATGTAGTCCCGCCCCAACCACCCCAACTATTCTCAATTAGGGTTTAGGGCTCACCCCCTTAACTCTCCTCAAGGGCGGGCTTTCTTGCTCTCTGCTACCCCTCGCAGCTCTGCAGAAAATGTGCGCTTCATAGCAACCAGAACTAAAATGGATTGTTGTTGGGCTGAAGGTCCTCGCGGCCTGTGCCGGCCGCTCGACGAGAAGCAAGGGTTCCTAAAACAATTCGCCCCTCGCACTCTGTCAGGGTTACTCGAAAGCAGGGCGAATTTTGCCGTTACATTCTTTTTGCAGAAAGCGTATTTTAGATTAGGATGGTGGCCCATCTCGGGGTTATTCGTTTCCTAAGGTAGGTGCCCCTGCTAAACCATACGAACTGCGAGGCGGAACTAGGAATCAAGGCCGGAATTTTGCCATGTTAAATTCTTTTCGGAAATTGGCTAAGCGGCCCCAAACCTCGCCAAGCTGATTCTAGGTCATTCAGGGCCGTGGCTGCGCCGCATCGCCCGAGCTCCTCGGTGAAGCCTGGACGAAGCTGAGGCACCGCCTGACTCTTCCTAAGAGCTAAACATAAGTTCCGTGCTCCCCTTTGTTCCAACAGCTACTGTAGGCAGGCAATCGGAGGCCTTCTGGACTTCTGGAATGCCCTCGGCAGAATCAAAACATGACTGTGGACTGACGGGTGAGGAGGACGGGTTTCGTAGAGTTAAGGAGGCGCGTGCAAGGATGCAGAGGTGACTCTTTTACAGATGCTGACCATCGCTGACCCAAAGACTCGAAGCTGAACAGCTGGTGCAGATAGCAAAAGTCTGCAAGCCACAGTTTCTATAGTCTCAGAGCTCACGCAGTACAATCGTATCCTCGCACATGGCGCACGGCGAGAAGGATTCAGCGGACATATATCACTCACAGCCAACAGCTGCCAACACATGAACCCAAGAACGGACTAAGCCTGAAATCCTGATTGGAGGTTGCACCCGTCGGATGCGAACGACAGCCTGTACACGTTCTTTACATCGCCAACATGAAGCCCGAGCTGTAGCAAAAGCTGAGATGCAGGCTTCGGGATGTGAGGCTTGGAATCCATTCCTGAAGAAGATGTCAGGATCGAGGGCAGCTCCGATAGGTCTTGACATTGGGTTGCGGAGGTTTCCGGCTCAAGGACGATGGTTTGTTCAGTTCTCCACGGCTTCTGCCAGCAAGCCCCTGATTCGAGTTCCTACTAGGTCCATTTGGTGCGACCAGAAACAGAAACTCCAAAACCACACATGCAAGTGACCCTGCCTCGGCCAGAGTCATGATGGAGTGCCAGTTTACATCTTTGGTAGGACGACGCGGTGCACATGTCGACGACGTAACTGGTTCATGCCTTGCTTGCGCCGGCTTTCCAGTCGCGGAGTGCCGCTGCCACTGAGCTGGTTTCCAGTTACATGCCCACGCTGGATTTAAGCGAAGCAGCAGCGTCTCGCATGCCATACAACCAAAAACTCTGAAGGTAGACGTTTGCCGCTTGACTTCTCATGCATGGCCGGCAGCTTTGTGTGTGCGTGTGTGCTGCATGGTTCCTTGCAGCGAACGGCGAAGATGTCACATGTTTGTCTGAGTACTATATGGGGAGAGAAGGCTTCAGATCTGTACCTTTGAGTCCCTTGGTCTACACTCCAATAGCACACCGGCCAGACTGGTACTGGAAGAAAATCTTCCAAATGCGTGGTATCGATCCGGAGTCAGTGAAGTCGGGATACACGGAGGCTTGGCTCGCCTTTCTGTTTGTGGAGGCCCAGGAGGCGATGACTGTTTGCTCTATCGAGGGTGGTCGCTACTGGGATTGCATCCTCGATGTCCGGAAAGTCTACGATCTGGCACAGGGCAGTGCCAGGTCCACTTTTGCGGGGCGATTGGCAGCTGTGTTCGGCATTACGCTAGCTGCACCAGACCCGTTGCCGGGCCACCTTCGGCTTAGCCTTTGTGCTCTTGGGTCGATATTTAGGAGCATCGCGAATAAAGAAACCAATGTTCTTTGATTTAGGGCCCCGATCATGGTAGGTTGAATTGATTAGGTGCGTCAACCAGAATCGAGGCTCCGGCACGCTGTACCGAAAGCCAGGTCGTACAAGAAATTTTCCCACTGGCTGTTGATATGTTGATGGGAGAGAGGCCACAACAAATGCTTGGCAATGCAAGTTTCCGGGACGTCGTGGTGGCCCACGAAGTTGCTGGTTGGCACGACTTTGACATAGACTTCGCCATTGTCGGGGTCAACCGCTGTGGCACGACCTCCCTGCGAAAGAACATGGAACTTCATCCTGATGTGGTGATCAAAGGTGATGAGGAGGAAACTATCTTGAGTTACGAGCTAGCCAACCGCTTGCTGCCGCTGAAAGCACAAGTTGAGGAATACAACGCGCAGGTGCAGGAAAGAATCACTGCAAAGTTCAAAGCAACTGGACACCGACCTCACATAGTTGCCAAGCTTCCCTGTGCAGAGATTTCTACATATATTGTTACGATCGAGCACGACAGCCCGATTAAGGTTTGAAAGGTTTCACGACGTTTTCACGTGTGTAGGTGATGCAGAGAAACACACCACAGCTTGGCCCGAGCTAGGTACTTTCCTGGTGGGCATAAGCATTTTTCTCCATTGTGCATCCGGTGCTCTTTCCCGCTCGAGGTTGGTATTGGAAATCCCCTTCTCTTCCAATCTGCCCTGGTCCGGCAAAAGTTGGCTTTGATGCCACAATTGAAACTCGGATCTCTAAGTGTACTTATGAGTGGTGAAAGGAGTTGGTTGGATATGCATTGAGGCATGAGCTGTAAATAGGCACATATGTGTGTACATGTGTAATTGTTTGTATGTAAACATGGCTCTAAACACGTAGACCTGTTTATCTGTATATCTGCACATGTGCGTGTGTGTGTGAATGAATGAATGAATGAATGAATGAATGAATGAATGAATGAATGAATGAATGAATGAATGGATGGAATGAAATGAAATGAAATGAAATGAAATGAAATGAAATGAAATGAAATGAAATGAAATGAATGAATGAATGAATGAAATGAATGAATGAATGAATGGAATGGAATGGAATGGAATGGAATGGAATGGAATGAATGAATGAATGAATGAATGAATGAATGAATGGAATGAAGGAATGGAATGAATGAATGAATGGAATGAAGGAATGGAATGAAGGAATGAATGAATGAATGAATGCATGAATGCATGCATGGATGGATGGATGGATGGATGGATGGAAGGAATGGAAGGAATGAATGAATGAATGAATGAATGAATATATATATATATACATATATATATATGATCCCGATCCCCCCTTTCCCCCCGCCCCCAGCACCCCTCCCCACAAGAATCGAGCCCGTGCGATCCTCGTGACAGTCATAGATTTCGGAGGATGAGAGAGTCACCGCGATGTTAACATGCCGATATTCATATCGTTCATATATCATCATTTCCTGATTTTTCCTAGGAAATTGTTTGTATTGGTGCCCAAAGCCAAATTTGCGCGAAAACCAATTTTTCCTAGCGAAGACCAAAAAAAACCATGTTTCTGGAGTCGGGCCGTATAGTTTCACGAAACATGGTTTTTTGGTGGTTTTCCAAAAGTAAAAGCTGGTATTTCCTTTTTTGTGCCCACAACCATCTTTTTCTTAGGAAAAAGTTGGTTTTTGCACCGATAACCCATTCTTCCTCGGGAAAACCAAAAAAGACTTGTCTTTGGAGTCAGTTTCCCAAAAGATTTTTGTTTTTTTGGTTTTCCCTGGCAAAAACGATTGGTTTTTGACTGGAAGAGTACAGTGTTGCCGTTAAGTGCGTGCTCACATCACGCCTGAACGAGTTGCTTGGCGGTTGGTTTGTGATTGGAAAAGTACAATGTTGCCTTTGAAGGCGCGCTCAAGCCGAACCTGAGTCGAACTGCCTGGCGCGTTCTCTGGAAATGTGAGTTTGGTTTTGGCAGTGTTTCAGAGATACAGAATCCGGACCTGCCGGAAAAGCTGGCTTGAAACGGTATTTACGGTACAAAACGAGGGTCGGTAGTTCATGGGGCGGGGGTTACAATATCAATATAGATAAGCGTTTTTCTTTATTTATTTATATGATTATATGATGCCGGTGCGGCCGGCCCCCCCCCCTCCCCGCCCCGCCTGGTGTGGTTCGCGGTTGGGTCTGCTTGGGGTGGTTGCCCCTTTCCCCCCCTGTGACGTGGTGTGGGGTTTGCTTGTGGTGGGTTGTCCCCGGCATGTTTGGGTAAGGAAGTCACGAGGATTTGGGGAAATTTTTTGGGGGGATACCATGGGGGGGGGAGGGGGGTGTCGGTGAACCGAGAACCGGGATCATTTGTAAGCCCCGTCTCTCTCTGTGTGCTCGCCCCCCTTGGTCTTGCGCAGACGTCCGGCTCTCCAGACTGTCATAAAGTTATACATATATATATATATGTGTGTATATATCAGTCCTCTTAGGTCAGATGTCTGGGACTGCTGCGAGCGACCACCCATCCCGCGACTGTCTATGTCGTATTCTGGAGTGGGTCACAAACGCTGACTTGGTCGAATGGTTGGTCCCTACCCCGTTCTCTGCCGAGATTGAGCTTTGCACATTTAAGGATGGTGAAGTCATCCTTGGTGCCCTTGAGGTCGCCGACCTCCGATTCGGAGAGGTTGACTGTAGTCGGAGTTGTTGTACCTCGATCCTTGTTGGGCCCGACACTTGGTGCTCACAGGAGGAGACAGCTGACCCTAACTCTGTTTCCTACAGCTTCTCTCAGTGTCGTACTCTCCTGGCAGAAGGCATCACTCCCGCTTTCTTTGAGGGCCCTTTTGAGGATGTTGCCTTCTCAATCTGCCTTGGAGACTGGGTTGGATTTGCCCGCCCTCCCTGCATCTCCTCCCCACCAAAATCCTACCAGAAGGCCCTGGACGTCGAAACTCTAGGGGGTGATCTCCTCCGCTTTGCCTTGCGCCTTTGGGGTCTTGGCATACCGGCTCGAGTCATATTTTTGCCCGCCGCCAGCCCTGCCGTCTCGCCCCTCAATGAGATACGGTGCTTGAGACAGCGAACTGCCGGGCACTTCTGCGCTCTGGAGTACCCTAGCTCCTTCTGGTAGGTATCTTCGTTTCACTTAATTACTGCATGCCACAGGGGCTGCAACCCGACGGAGTCTGTGCCCTAAAGACGTGAAAAAGACGTGTGTATATATATATATATATGTACACACACACCTCACCTGAATACACGAGCATCGAGGATTCGTAGAGTGTGGTGCGGGGACTCGAAGATCAACCGAACTTGAGTTCGTTTCTAGCAGCACATGGGCTCAGCACATACATGGTTATGCGAACGCCTGTATATCGACAGCTTGTAAACATGCTTATACTTGGTCCATGTCTTTATGACATTGTGTTATGTAAGTTTGTTGTCGATGCAGCGATTCATCATAATCTCTTCATGCAGAAAGGAAACTGGTTCTCGCCGTTTGCGAGCCGGTCGGTCGCATGGAGAAGAATCTTTGTGTGCAAATGGCATGAGTTTTTGGTTGCGGTCTGGTGGCGAAGAACAGCGTCGTCCATACCTGACTTGTGTAGATTGGGGTCCCACTCGAGCTTCAGGATTTTCATGATGGAAAAATACTGCCATGATGATCTCCCTGCGGCTCAAAAGCGTCTTGTGGCCTGGCCTTACCGCGACGGCAGTGAAGTCTGTGGCTCGGCCCCATTTCCTCAGTGCAACGCTTTCTCCTTCCGTGTAAGGAATGCTCATGAAAGTCTGACTTCGGTTCCTTTGATGCACTTGTTCCAGGAGCAAACTTCTTGATGCGTAACATGGTTGATGCGTCGCAGTAGTGGGTGGAAGGGAGTGTGGTTGCATGTGTGCGTGTGTGTGTGTGTGTGTGTGTGTGGCAGCTGGAGCGAGGTTTCCCAAGCACTTCGGCACTGCTGACGGAAAGACATGGCCAGCTGTGCTTTCGGCATGCTTCGTCAATTTTTCAGTATAGGCTGCTGCAAAATCTACAGTGAATCTACAGACTGAAGGGCAAAGCACGCATCTCCGGAGCAGCAATAGAGCTGCTAGCACGACAGAACAGTTTGAGCAGACATTGAATGCAATACAACCAGACCATGTATCTGCACCTCGTGTTCTTCTGCGACTGCAAGCGTTGAAGCTGCTTGAAACATTACCGCAAAATGTCAATTCTCCTGAGCCTCAGTGCCAGGAAGTTATTTTGGGATCAGCGGATCGCCACAGCACAGCATCTGGCAGCCTTGGCGGAGCTGTTTCCGAGTCGTCTGTTTGTTTTGTGCCTGGGCGAGTTACTTTTGAATGCAATAACAAGAGGGAAGGAAAGGAAAGCAGGGAAACTGTGCTGCAAGCAAAGCAAAAACATATCCAACATGCAGAGACGATAGCACGAACAAAAATAACATAACACATGAAAAATCAAACAACAAGAGGAAATAATGAATCTAATGCATAGCGAGAACGCGAGCAGAGAGACTAAACTAGGTTGGTCGGGCCAGATGCAATCGACCGGGGAATCAGGCTTTTTGATTCTCTGATGTTGAAGATGATTTGGAGGGGATTGCAGCAAAACTGCTTGTCAGCTCTTGATATCTTCGGACTGAGACTCTATAGGCGTAGACTGAGCATCGAGGCACCAAACAGAACTGCGTGACACACCGAGCAACATCTTCAATGAACTGGCGGCCTTCGTTGGACTTCGCCCTTTCCCCGAGAAGATTGTCTTCAGGCAGATCTTCAATGGGCTGATGATGCACATTAACTTTTCGATATATGTAGCACTGCTTCGTGCTTCAGCAACAAGATGCAAGTCTCGTGTTCGCACGTCGAAGTGCAACCTTCTCGTCGAACCCCGTTAAAGCCCAAGTTCTGCATTTCTGCACACTCACTTCCTGATACTGCAGGTTAGGCCCCAACGCAGAGGCAACCTTGCAGCCATGAGAACCGATCCCGGTCCCTCTGCAGGCGCTACAACTCCGTGGGGGGCCACCGAACAGATCTCTGCTTCAATGCCTCACTGGTGCGCTCTTCGGATGCAGCCAGGATTTTTGCTTGACAGTCTCTCGGTATTGCTGCTGTGGGAATTCTTGAGACTTTTCACCCTGCAGAAGAACACGCACATGGGCCGGAAAGAGAGGGTTTTTTTGCTTTGTCTGATAATATTTAGTCAAGGTCTTACTCTGGGAGTACAGGAATTATCAGAGTAGCCCTTCGAAACGAGCCCTTTCGCCTCCAGGTTCACTGCAGAGACTTTTGGAACGTGAGTATGTCATGCAGGAGTCCATTTTGCAAGCTTTTCGGGGCATCCGCATCGCCGCTAGATCCACACGTTGTGACTTGGTCGACAAGGTCGACACAACCTACTGCCCCAATATGGCTTGCTAGCGAAATGGGTGTTTATCGCACCTTGAGAAAAACATGTCTCCTGGAAAAGGAATGGCCGGCGTAGGAGTCGTGGATTCATAATAATACTAATAATAATAATATCGAAGTACTAATTATCATAGAAGTAGCGGAAGCATGAGTAGTAGTTAGTAGTACGGCTACTAGCCGTAACAACTGTCGATTGTGATATCGTCATTCGTGGAATAGAGGGATAGTAGTCATATTCGCGGGCTGTAACAATAATAGTACAAATAGTAGTAATGCTGGTAATGAGTAGCAGTAGTAGTAGTAGTAGCAGCAGCAGCAGTAGTAGTAGTAGTAAGTAGTAAGTAGTAGTAAGTAGTAAGTAGTAGTAAGTAGTAGTAGGAATAGTAGGAGTAGTAGGAGTAGTAGTAGAGGAGTAGCAGTAGCAGTAACAGTAGTAGCAAGCAGTGACCATAGTCATATCAAAATAGTACCCGTAGTAGAAGTAATGGTTTTAGTGGATGCAGTAGTAGCGGCAGTGGTGGTGGTGGTGGTGGTGGTAGTAGCGGTAGAAGAGTCGGAAGTCGTAGTAATTGGGGATTGTAATGCTATGAAAGAAATAATGATCTCATCACTCTAGGAATATATATAATTCTGATATTCATGAAAATCATCATTATGAAATAACGGTATTGATATGAATTCGTCGAAATAAATCACATAAAAAGGGTTAAGAAAAACTTATATAGAGGCTCTACAACAGAGTCTGGGTTTCGACTCGTGATTATTGAAGATATTCGATAAAATATAATATGATTTCTGATATTAAAAATTATCTAGGATTCGAATTTATATGTAAAAAATAAAAGAATAATCTGATAAATACTATTTATTATATATTTTTCTATTGAATTTATATTATTGTAGATTCGAAATATCATTTACTATTGGTATATTTCGAATAAGATACAACATGATTTTATTCTTGTCGTAATAATTATATCTGAAAAAATACATATATTTACAAGATCTTATATACTTAAATATTCTCTAATAAAACGGTGTCGTGCTGGTCGCCTCCGTTTTTTTGTGCGCGCCCCTGGCCCCTGGAACCTCGTCCTTTGGCGCATTTCCTTTTGAAAGCCTCTTGCGTGCCTGTCTCGCGGTACTAAAATTTCGGAAATTTTAGTACCGGGAGCAATTTTTTCCCGCTACTAAAATTTCCGAAATTTTGGTAGCTTTAGGAAATCTCGCGGTACTAAAATTTCGGAAATTGTGGTAGCTCGAGGGGGACACGCTCCCGGTAATAAAATTTTCCGAAATTTTCGGTAGGCATGCTCGCGGCCATAAAATTTCCGAATTTTTTGGGACATGCTGGCGGTAACAAAATTTCCGAAATTTTAGTACCGGGAGCATGTCCCATAAAAGAGGCTTTGAAGACCGGTTTCAGGGCCACTCGAAAAGCACGCAAGAGGCTTGCAAGAGGACGCACATCAGGAGTTGAGTGCCGAAAATCCAGTGCTGCGAGAGGCACGGGAGACACTTTCAACAGGAAGCGCGATCTTGGTAGCGTTCTCACTCGAACACGTCCCCTATATTCTATCCTTATCAAAATGCGTCCGAACCTTATTGGAGTAGAAGCACATGTTGTGGATCTTGGTAGCGTTCCACTCAAAAATGTTGTTTCTCAGCAACCTCCGCTGTCGCCTGTTGATGGAGCAGGCCATAGCTGAAACGTGCTCTCGCTCTGAATGCAGGTGTCGATGTGTGTCTCCTGTGTGTCTATGCGTCTGTTTCCGTGTTTGCTTTTGCTCTTGGCAAGCAGGAGCTGTTTTGGCTGTGAGATCAAGAAGCATGGGCAGCCACTGTGTCATTGGATTCAATTCACATGTTGTGTTGTGTCGCAGTTTTCCAGCTCCGCTTTCATCGTTGCAAGCACGATCATCTAAATACGCCCGAACAATTCGTTCTCACACAAATACGTCCTCTGCATTCTATCCTTATCAAACTACCTCCAATCCCTATTGGATTAGAAGCACATGTTCCATCGTGCCGCAGTTTTCCAGCTCCGGTTTCATCGTTGCAAGCACGATTGTGCTCACTCAAACCCGTTCCCATACACTCATTGCAACACGTCCCGACTTCTGTAGCACCAGCAACCGCCGCTGTCGCCTGCTGATGGAGCAGGCGGCCCACTCAGAACATGTCTGTATTTGTAAATTGGTTGCAGCAGATTTTGTTCGTGTGCATCGCTGTGTCAGATTGTTCGTTCAGATAATTTCCTTCGTTTGTGTCCGTCTGTGTGTGTCCGTCTGTTTGTGTCTGTCTGTGCCTGTCTGTCTGTGCCTGTCTGTCGGTCTGTCTGTCTCTGTCTGTCTGTCTGTCTCTGTCTATCTCTGTTTGTCTCTGTGTTTGTCTGCGTTTGTGTCTCTCTATCTGTGTGCGACTGTCTGCCTGTCTGTCTGCGTGTGTGTATATGTGTCTGTGTGGGTATGCGTATTTGTTTGTATCTATATCTGCTTGTGTCTATGTGTGTCTCACTGCTTGTGTGGGCTTGTATATGCTGAAGAGCTGTGTGTGTGTGTGTGTCTGTGTGTCTGTCTGGCTCTGTCTGGCTCTCTCTGTCTCTCTCTGTCCGTCTGTGTCCGTCTGTGTCTGTCTGTGTCTGTCTGTGTCTGTCTGTGTCTATCTGTCTGTGTCTATCTGTCTGTCCGTCTGTCTGTCTGTCCGTCTGTGTGTCTGTCCGTCTGTCTGTCTGTCCGTCTGTCTGTCTGTCTGTCTGTGTGTCTGTCTGTCTGTGTGTCTGTCTGTCTGTCTGTCTGTCTGTCTGTCTGTCTGTCTATGTGTCTATTTGTCTGTCTGTTTGTGTCTGTTTGTTTGTGTCCGTTTGTTTGTGTCTGTTTATGGGTGTCCGTCTGTTTGTGTCTGTCTGTCTGTTTGTGTAACTCTCTGTCTATTTGTCTGTGTCTGTCTGTCTGTATCTATCTATTTTGTTTGTGTCCGTTTGTAAGAATTTGATTATTTGTGTCTATCTATTTATTTGCGATTATATCTCTCTATTTAGAAATATGCATTTGTTAATGATAAATATGTATATTTTCTTATTCGTTGTTAGATATGAGAATTCTATTTATATCTATAATATATTTCTCAAATATTACGATAATATAATCTCCCGGCGTTATTTCTCTGAATATATAAAAATATGGATATATGTTATTTGAGAATTTAAAGATTGTCGTTTTATTTGGCTTTTCTAATGAAGAATTATATTTGAGATTAAGAAATATAATTATTGAATTCGAGGTAGATAATTTATTTATCGTATTTTCTTTTGCTCCGAATTTGTCGTTATATTTGGAAATTAGTAATTTGTATTCTTTTTAAAATATATTTAAATCTTTCGTTTTCATTGAAACATAGTTTTGATATTCTTATTATCTTTTTAAAATATACTTAAAATTATCGGCTTCGCTTAAAATCGTTGTCGTATGCTCATGATAAGATGTCTCGATTTTTTAGGTGCGAATAACTTCTGTTATTATTTGTTGATATTTGTCTATTTATTTATCTTGTCTATCTATTTATTTATATCTCTTTTTATTTGTGTGAATTTGTCGGCCTTAATGGTCTATCTGTATCTATCTGTTTGTTTATCTATCTATCTATCTCTATTTGTTTTTATTATCTCTATCTATTTATTTGATTGTGATTGTATCTCTCTATCTAGGAATAATTATTTGTCTATTTTCTGATATATGAATTCACGACAAAATGATTTATTGTCTCTTGTCTCTATTGTTACGAATAACGAGTCCTCTCTAAAATATTTTTTACTATTTTCTTTTTGATATATTTTTTTAAATATATATATATACATATTTGTAAATTTTTTCTATAATATATAGCAAATAAAATATTTCCATTTATTCTCTTCTATATATTCATTCTTCGAGAAAATGTTTCTCTTAAATTTCTAGAGAATTTATATAATATTCGCCTAAATCGTATATTAGGATAATTTTCGAAAATATTGAAATATATAAAGAATATATATTTTATTTCATGCCAAGATTCTCAAAATATTTTGAAATCACGAATGAGATTGCTAGAGCAATTCTGGCTCCCTGCCTTGATTGGGGCGGGATCCAAGTTGCGGAGAAATCTGGCACGTTATGATTTTGCTATGAAATATATCTGTTTCTATAATCAAATATGAGCATCTTTTGGGCTTAATCTCAAATCTTTTCTGTTCTATGGCCTTTTGCCACGTAATTTGTATTATTATATGAGATATTGCTGGCATCTAAATTTTATTTCATATCTTTATGTGCGAAAGTCGCAAAGAAGCCGCCATTCGAATATTCTATTCTTCTTCTCGTCTTGGTCGGGGAACTCGGTCGGAGCCTCGAGTAATTAAGATTCGGGATTTATAGAAATTATTGAAGATTTTGACCAATTATTGATGGAATCATATTTTGATTCTGGAATTGGCCGGGTTGTGCTGGGGCTGGGGCTGGGCTGCGGGTGGGGAGCTGGGGCTGCGAAATTGGATTCCCCCTCCCTACCCTTGGTTTTGAAAGATTTTGATCTTGATTGATTGACATCATTACGAAGTCTATTGAGTGCTAGTTGCTCCTCCATCTTAAGGGTTGGAGTGTTCGATATAATATAATTTAGATCCAGGGATCGGGTCTGAAATAGAGATCTTGGATTCGATTGTTTGATTGCCCAGGCCTAGGATTTAGGCCTAATCTTCAGGGTCTTAAGGGGCTCCACTACCCCCCCCCCTCCCCGCCGCCCCCCCACCCTCCCCCCCACTACCACCGCCACCTTGCCCAGACACATCTCGCCAGCCTGTTCTCGATCGAAAATCCAAAGCTCTTCTCAAGGGTGACACCCCGATCACGGGTCCTGCATCACGATCATAGCTGAAAAAAGAAAAGACGTGGATTTCGAGATGAGAGATATTCGGATATGATATATTTTGATGATATTCCATTGTAATTCAAGGCAAATATCATGCAGATCTCAATATAATCAGATCTATGGAATCAAGAACCAAGAGTGAAGAGTCCTGGATATCTTGATTCTTGCTAGATTGTTGTGGTCTGCGCATATTGAAAAACAATCTTTTAATTCAGATCTCAATATGGATTAATCTTGGGAATTAAGATCCAAGACTCAAGAATCTTGGATATCTTGGTTCTTGATTCTACGGGTCTGGCTATATTGAAATTCAATTTTTCAGTCTTGATTATAGTATAGATAGATCCAAGAGAATCATATAATTATTCTTGAATATCATATTCGATATCGAATATCTTAATAAAATATTTCTGTATTCTCGTAAAGGATGTCGATATATCGTATTCTCTGTCATATGATCATTGCTAGGAGGAAGCATTAGGGAATAAGAGATTATATATGATGGATTGATTGCGCGATGAAATCATATTTGATATCCCATATCCTAGTCGATCGAAAATAGGGATTCTTGAATCTTAATTGCCTCCCGCTTCTTTCTAATTATCGATATGCTTCTTTTTGATAAATATCGAAGACGCAAAAAATCATAATTCTATCTAATTATTAAATATGAATTTTTTATAGATCAGTCTATCGTATATATCTCTCGTCTACAAAGTTAAGGGGCTTAAATTATAGAATATGACATAGAATCTAAGATCTGAGCATTTCTAAATGAATTATGGTTTCGTAGTGAATGCTTTTATTAGTAAAGGAATTTATTTTATATTTTTTGATTTTTCCATTCATTTATTAAGAATTTCTTTTCTTAAGTATTATTATATAGATTATATTCGATATTATGTATATATATATATATAAGTTTAGAATCTAAGAATTCTTTGATTGAGTTTTCATATATTTTATATACGGTATTTGAAAGAAATATGGAATTTAGGATCTATTAATCTTGGAAAATCGAATCTTATTGATTTTATGATATATCTTTATATATCTTAGTTTTCTATAAAATATTGAATTCTAATGATAATGTATATATATTATTCTTTTTTAATGTCATTTATAGGTCGATTATTTATGGTATACTTTTATGGATAATATGAGATAATTTTAAAAATCTTTTGTTAATATAATATATATATATATATGAAAAAGTAGCCGTAATCTAAGATCTGAAGAATTCCTAGTTATACTATATTTTCCATATATGGAGATCTTTTATGAAGAAATTCAGTTCTAAAGAAAATATATTCATAAGTATTTTATAGAAGATCTTTGCTTATAATTTCTGAATTTGGTTCAAAATAATATTGAACAATAGAATATCTTATAGGAACACCCGCTTATGAAATATATTTCTGTATATCTTTTTAATTCATTTCAAAGAATATGATTTAAAAAATAATTCGATAGATCATCTTATCAGAATAATCGCGTACGGTATCACTATGAAAAATAAAGATATTATCTTGATTCGAAGATCTTGAATAGGGCATATTACAGAATATAAGACAATCTTTAGCGTCGTCTTTATCTGGATTCGAATAGAGTACTTCATCGTAGATAAGGAATATTTAATATTCTTATGTTGATTCTAACGACAATGTATCGATATCTCTATTGGAAATTAGGCACTATTTAGTCTTCATATCTTCTTCATATATTTATAATATATAATAGTTATCTTCGATATGGAATCGTAACGACGATTAGAAAATATAAGAAGAAGATTTCGAGGAAGATCTCGGAACGGATCATGAATTTCTGAATTATTCAAATCATATCGCGCTTAAATTCGATTTCTATTCGTAATGACGAATATATAGATTTCCAGAAAATAGTTCATTTTCTATAGATAAATTCTTGTTACTAGTAGCTCAATCGCAAATATATAATCTCGATTAATTTAAATTCTTGAAATAATTTCAGAATTTCAAGAAATTTCTCAAATCTAACATCTCATATACATATATATATATATATCAATAAAAATATCATATAATATGAGAATTAGTCAATATCTAGAAATCTTTTTCAACGAATTAGTAATGAATTCCGACGGTATATATTTATTGAATCTTGGCTTCTGATTTCTCTATAATATTCCGTATTTTAATTGAATTTTCACAAAAAATTCGAATGGACCTGCTATGTCTAATGGCGGGTGGCAGGCGATCCACGCAATTTTTTTTTGGTGCGTAGCAGCAAATCTTCTGTCGATTTATGGCGGAATATATTTATTGATTAATTATCTTTTTTTTTGATATTCATATATATGGATCAGAAATGAAATTATTGTTGTTTCAATGATTCTGACAATTTAATAATAGAATAATGATAGAATTTTGGGCAGTATTTCTCAAAAGACCGTCAAGGATTGTTCAAGATCAAGAGAGGTATGAGAAATGATCATAAGCGGATCATTAATTTCAAATTTCGTAAGTGTCTAAGACCACTTGTCCCTGTTAAATTATTACTTCTCGCCTGTGGTTATGTGGCTGACATCTATCCTAATTATTCCGAGCTTCCGAGCTGAATCAGCCGACTCGGAACGAATTGAAGCTATCTTCTTGTCGCAATGTTACGATATGCACGAATGTTGCACTTATCTTGCAAATTTTTTGTTATAGTTGAATGGGAGCGTAATTCTCTTATCTCGAATCAGTAAGATTCATATATTTGGCAAGCTAGAGGAATATATTAAAATATATTAAATAAATTCGTTCTTCGTAATTGCTTAGAAAAAACGGTTATCGGCCCGCGAGCCGGACTCGTGATATAAACAGAAGGCCATATACGAAGATAGACAGAGACAAGTACAACTCCCAGCTCCAATTTAATATCCTAGATATATCTACCTTTGAGATACAGTTACCGACAAGAATTCAAAAAGACAACGTAATTACGGTCTATTATTCAATATACATTATTGTCAAATTTCAAATAAGCGAAAAATATCATTGGTTCATAATCTAAATTTTTTCCTATCATTTATAGCATAGATTTTCCAATCTCGTAAATTAAAAAAGAGAATACGCCCGAATCAAAAAAAATCATATACGAAATCTCCTAAATTCTCATTAAAAGATTCTCGATATAATTCGATCATAATCAATAATCAACACCAATAGAGAAAGAAAATTTCGAAAGAAATCCAATCCCGATTTATTATTATCTTCTACGACTTAAATTTGGTCAGAAAAAGTCGACAAAATCCCATAATCTGCTCGATAATTAAGAAAATTGGCCAGAAATAAGGAAGCCATTTGCCAAATCAATATGGTGGATTTTTCCCCTTTAAATTTACCTATATAGTATTGAGCTCGTTATGCTAATATAGTGTGCGGTGTGAGCTCGTATCTAACCGAAAAGCTTATCTTGGCTCCCCAGCAAGTCACTTGCACAAAAACGATGGGTTTTTTCATGCGGGTGAACTAACCCATGGGCCCACCAAATGTAAGGGAACCATTGAACGGGCCGCTGAGATGTCCCCTGGTTTGAATATCCCCACCTGTAAGTATAGGTGGTCTGCATTTTGGCGCTTGCTTTAAGCCGACTGGTTCCTATTGCAATCATCAACACGAACATCAGCACTATCCGCATCAGTCGCTTTCTCCAATCTTCTCCTTCCAACAGCTCCTCGAGTCGGTCGCACCGGGACTGCCGAAGCAGCAGCTGTTCCGGCACGGGCCTTGGAACTTGGGGACGAAGAGCCTCCCTCTTTGGCGGTTCTAAAGGACTTTGGGAAAAGACGTTGCCGGGGTTGGGAGTCCAGCTTAAGATGAGGCCAGGGCTTCCTGATTGGTGCTTTGGGTTTCGGTCGCGGCTGAATGTCTTTCAGGCAGGCTTAGAAGTCCCCTTTTCAGACTGCAACTGAGATGAGGCGAGGGCAACATCCCGACTTTGTTCAACAGTTGCTCCAGGTAGACATACCTTATGCCATGTGCAAAGATGACAGCACTTAGGAAAGCAAGTGGCCCCCCCTTTGCCCGCACTGCTTGCAGTCGGAGACTCTCCGGTGCCAGGAGCTCCTCACAGCTAGGAGAAGGCATGAGACACGAGCAAGGAGGCACTTCGCTCCATGGTCCTTGAACTGCCGGACAAGCGTGGCATTGTGGCAGAGGTCAGTACGATGTCCAGGGCGGTGGTTGTGCCGCGTCAACCGAGCCCACTCAGGAGCAGGAAGCCCAAGAAAGTGCAGGGTGCTGTAGAATGCATCCGGGGCTTGCAGACGCAGATGCTCTTGATGCAGTACGGCCAGTCTCTGATGAAAAAGCCGCTGTACATGCTCCAGGTGCCTCCGTACCTCAAGCCCCAGAACAAGCCCTGGAAAAAAGATATTCAAAACCTACTTCGGAGACCAGGGTTTCTGGGAGCATTCATGACTTCCCCCCGCCTCAAAACGCCTGAGGAATTGCGGGTCCTCCAGAACGCTAGAAATGCTGCGGAAGCAGGTGCCCGGTGTGCGCAGCAGCGGGTCTGCCTCTGGGTGCGGCAGTGACGGGTTACAGATATGATACCACCAGAAAGCCTTGTCAATACGGCTCAGTGGATCACAAACAACAAGCAAGACTCGCAAGCGCTGAATACGGGCTAGAGCCATGCGGACACGAAGGTGTGCCCACAAGCTTGGATGTCTCAGCCCTTTCAACGTTGACGGACTCCGCCACTGTGAGTTGAAAGCCTGGACCTCCGACACGTAAGGCAAGAGCCTGTCGTGTGAAAAAAACGACGCATCTTCTTCACCGCCTCGACTAAACTCCACCTCCTCCAGCTGCTGCAACCAGCGGCCAAGAGAAGTGGTGCCACAATTGTCAACTCCAGCGATGACGAAATCTAATTGAAACTTCGACCAATGGGAAAGCTCCTCGATCTGGGCTTCAGCCTTTGTTGGCACCGGAAATGCCAGGGCGGCACCGAGGACATGCATCAAATATCCTCGTCAGCCGAGAGCCAGTGTGAAATGGAGACGGAGAGAGGGAAGGGCAGAATCCAAAACATGCGTTTCTCCGACAACGCAGGCAACTTTGGAACGTTTAATTTAGTTTGCTGACAGGGCATATAATATACTACTATATACTATACTATGATATACTATGATATATTATGCTAGACGATTGCTATAACTATAATGATATGGGTCTTCCGAACTTGCCAAGGCTCTGCTTAGAAGCTCCTCCCTGACCTCCCCACCAGAGCACAGTTCGGGAACGCACATGCCCACGTGCACCACAGGAGCCAGCCCCTCAACCTTTGCTGGCAGCTCAGGGCAGCCTTCGCAATCCAACTGCGATGTTTTCTCAACCCAGCTGCGAAAGTACAGTTCGCGATCCAGCGAAAGCTCCCAATACCTTGCTCCTGCCATCACAGCGCACACACATTCAAGCACAATCACGGTCATGTCGTTGCGGCCCTAAGAAGCCCTATTTAGAAAAGTCTACGCCGAGCGTCCCGCACCCCAACAGGTGGAGGCACAGACCTCCGACAAGTTCAGGAGGTACTCGGCATACTGGCCGGGCCGCTCGTCTGTTTGGAGACCCCCGCGCCAATAGTCCACTTTCGCAGCAGTGGCTGCCCCCGAAGCACTCACCAGATCATCGAAACTGCGGAAAAACTCCTCCCCGCAGGAACGTGCCGGCGCGGCTGGCGACACCATCCAGGAGCAAGGCAAGAAGATCTCAGCCGAAAGGGAAGGGAGAACGAAGAAAAGCGAGTAGTAAGCACGCTTCTGTGTGGCACACGGCAGAGGCGAAGTGCGCATGACAGCCTTATGGAGGCCATGGTGATGTCTTTGCATATCCTTCTGTGCCCGGTTTCATCAGGACCATCTTTGGCCTTCTTTGGGATCAGTCGACGAGCGAAACTGACCTGCAAACATCAATGGTCTCCTGGAAACATTTCGCAGGTATGTGCGTTTCCAGAATCCCAATAAAGGAGGAAGGCCATCCGCCGGTTCGCGGTTCACAGACCCCCACGACGAATTCTGCGCTCAGGGAGCAATTGGAAGCCACAGCTGGTTGAGCTAATCAATGCAAAAGTTCATCCAGATGTCGTCCAGCTAAGCAGCTACGGCTGTACTGAGGCGAACGTCTCAATCATTTTGTTGCTAAATTTAAAGTGTGCTACCAGTAGGTGGAGCTTAAGGGGGAACCCTCGGACCGAATGCTGTCCTTCTCGTAGCATGCCTCCACGTCCCAATCCCAACAGAGGTATGGCTCCGGGCATCGAGAACTCTGCTCTGCCTTTGCGCTGTCACACGGGACACGGGGGCTGTGAAGCTGGTCCGAAGCCTTTGTCAGCTTGAGCACACTGCCCCACCTTTGGGTGTGCGCGTTGTTGACATCACACATGTAAACACAGCACTTCTCAAACCTCTCATTCCCCCGCCCAGCATCCCGGTCCAAGCACAAGCTGCATTCTCCTGCAAGTTGAAGCGAACTTCTGCAGATGGTTTCCGGCATCGGACATCTTGATCACGGTCTTCATGTGGGCATCTGAAGCATTCAGGGCAACCTAAGCTGTCAGGCAAAGTCGCGGAGACGACTGGCCCTCGTCTGCTCCCCGAGCTCAAATGTAACAGTTCCCACCACATTCGAACCCCGTACCGAACCGCCAAATAACCACCCACATTGTGGCGTCGTAGAACCGGCGGCTGTGGTGGTTGTTGTTGTTGTTGTTGTGATGTCGTTGCGGAAATGGTGGTCGCTCGGAGGGACGGGATGAAAATCTCACACCTTTACAGACCTGTGTCAGCTCGCCCGTGCGGACTCCGGAGCACCGCGCTCTCCTTCAATGTAAACAGAGTTGCGCCGCAGACTGTGTAGAGCAGAACTCTGATCACGGCCTGCTGCCACTGTGAGAATCAAGACGGAAGCAGCTTGCCAATTTCCACTCCCTTCACATGCGCAGATGGCCGCATCAAAGCTGGTCATGTCGGGCACGACCCGTGCGCTGCACATGCGGGACAACAAGAGCACAGCCACCTCCCACTTCCCATGCTTCTGGCAGGCTCCGATGGCAGCATTGAAGCTGATCACATCTGCCGGCAATTGAGCCAGAAGCATGCGGGACAGCAGGAGCACCGCGCTTTGCCACTCTTGATTTTTCTCACAAGCGCTGATGGCAGCGTTGGAGCTAATGACGTTAGGAGAAAGTCTGACGACAGGCAGTTGCGAGAGGCAGAGCAAAGCCTGGCGCCAATCGCCACCCTTCTCACAAGCACTGATCACGGCATTGCAACTGATCACATCCGCTGAGACTCCCTCCGCAGGCATTTGCGACAACAAATGCAGAGCCATCTGCCAAATGCCGCGTTTTTCGCAAGCACTGATGGCCGCATTGAAGCCAATCACACCCGCCGGGATTCGAGCCCCGAGCAAACAGGACAACAAACGAACTGCTACCTGCCAGCTGCCACCTTTCTCGCAAGCACTGATGGCAGCACTGTAGCTGATCGTATTTGCCACCAGCCTGGCTTCTGGCATTGACCACAGCACGCACACAGCCAACTGCCACTCGCCTCTCTTTTCGCACGCGCTGATGGTCGCATTGCAGCTGATCACGTCTGCAGAAAGTCTGATGACCGGCATCTGCCAGAGCAGCAGCAATGCTGTTTGCCATTTGCCACTTTTTTCGCAGGCACTGATGGCAGCATTACAGCTGATCAAGTCCATCTGAAGCCTTTGTATAAGCACGTGGGACAACAACAGCAAGGCCGTCTTCCAGTCGCTGCCTTTTCCGCAAGCACTGATTGCAGCGCCGCAGATTACCACATCCGTCGGTACTTGATCGATGGACATCTGGGACAACAACCCCAACACCATCTGCCAATTGCCTGCACTTTCACATGCACTGATGGCAGCACTGAAGCTGATAGCATTTGGCGAGATCCGGCCCGAGACCAGTTGCGAAAAGAGACGCAACGCCAGCTGCCAGTTTTCTGTCTTGCAGGCGCTGAGGCCAGCGCTAAGGGTGACCTGGTTCCAGGGCACGGTGTAAGCCCGCATTTCGGAGAGCGTCGCGATTGCCGCCTGCCACCGCCAGCCTCTATGCAAAGCTGTGATGGAGGCGCTGAAGCAATAGACGCTGGGCGTGCGAAGCTCCGTGACATCCGCCAAGACTTGGACAGCGGCTTGCCAACTGCCTGCACAGCTGATGGCTTTGCGAAACACCGCCTGGTCTCTGGAGCCAAGCAAAGCTTGCTGCCACGAGGTGCCCTGCACCTGTGGCACCATGGTCTCCGATGCCTCGGCTCTCCCACTGCCATCGCAGCTCCGATGCCACAAGGCCCTGTCTTAGACTCACAAGGATCGCATCTCCTGGAGTGGGTGGCCTTGGGCCGGGCATGGCTGAGTAATGACTGCAATCGCCACGCTGCATTTCCAGAACGCTTGTTATTTGTTGGTTCGGTGGGGCGCTGAAGTTGTACGGGTACAGTACATCCTGTCTCCATTGGAACAAGGCGGACACGAAGACAAAACATGACAGAACAACAGCAAAACAACTACTGAAAGAATGACACGTTCTTCGCCTCAGAGACACACCATGTTCTTCGCTAGCGTCACCGTATGATAGATAAACTCATGACACACATTAGCTCACGGTGCAGTTGAGACTTACGCATGAACGTCTGTGGTACAGGCCGTTTCGGCTAGGCGAATATTGCAGAATGTGTGCGCTCCCGGTGTTCTGCAAATTCGGGCTGATGCAGCTGGCCTCTTTATTGAATCAATGCTTGCAACGGCCGCTCGCTGCGACTCCTGTTCCGGTGCATGCGCACCAAGGGTGACACAATTGCCGGGAATGTCGCTTTTCGGCGACTCTGTTCAGCCCGGCAAGAAACGGTGTTTCAGCATTCCCTCGCAGATGCTATCCTTTCATGGCCATCCTGAGCCAAGATCTCAACAAACGACTGTTTGCGAATCCTGCTCCAAATGTTTTACGTAAACAGGACGGCAGCACGGCTTCAAAATGTCGAGGTCCTGCATATCTCAGTCCATACTATACTAAGCTTCATCGACTCTTGTATACATGGCACGGGCTGCGACCACAGCCCCACATGGCTACGAGTTAGACGGAAACTTCGGCTCGTCGACGTCTCGCAGCTCGCAAGTGTGGCCATGACAACGCTCACACCCTTTCAGCCCCACAAAAAATGGCCGCCGTTGGAGCAGCAGGAGTGAGTGTATGAACCAATAAACTGGTGAGAATCGCACTCGCGGACGAGGTCGGAAGCCTTCTCGTGCACTTTGTAGACTGTCTTTGGCACAAGCCTACAGTCAAGATGCGCTCGTCACCACAGACTGCAGACATCTGAGGGCCCAGCTTCGAAGTCGCTGTGAGGCAGCCGTTGTCTGGCGTCCTGCGCATCGAGCGGACAAGAGCATCCTTCATCGTCAGGCTCTTCACCAATCCACGGCGACATCACACCGAAATCACGGGTGCCCCGGGCTGTCCATGGCTCCAATACCGGCATGACAGCCGTGGCTTGCATCAGGGAAGGTAGCTTTCCCGCCTGTTGCAGCAGAGATTTGCTGGAGTTCTGCTGGTGCGCGCAGATGCTCGATTTCAACGGCCTTCGCAACCACGTCTAGAGCGGCCTTGACTGCAGCCATCACCTTCAACCAAAGCTGTGCACTCGCACGTCAAATTACATGCCCTTCCGCTTCCTGAGAATGGCCTTGGGATCCCTGCAGAGCTCCTCGCCATCTTTTCCAGTGACCTTGGCGCTGCAGCCAGGCCTCATTCTGTTGATGTGCCTGCTACATGGGAGGCATGGGTAAGTCCGCTGCTCCGTTTTTGGCTGCGAGCTCAAGCAGCTCTTTCCGCTTGCCTCAGCGCAAAAAGCTGGCGACACCTAGAACGTGGTGGGAGGTGGTGGGTGCTTCTCGGGCATGTGCACTGAGCGAGCAGTACCGGCCGATCGATTTCATGGCTTGCGAAGCAGCAAACACCTGCCACCACGCCAGCTTACGCCCGCATTGCTTAGCTGATAGATCTCAAGCAGCGCTTTGCATTGGTGCGCCTCCGGCGTCGGCGTTGATGATATCTGCATTGTTGTAGGTTACCTTCAAGTATCAATGTCTCACGTCCTTCGTCCTCTTGAAGACAGAGTTCCGGACATTGATCATCTCAAGTGCGACATACTCGCCGCCCTTGAGCTTGACCTCAGATTCTTGGAATCGGACACGCCTCGTGAACTTGTCTGAGGATGTGTCCATCGCTTCCACCGGGGTCGCAGCAAGGTTCTTTTTTCGGTCAATGATCTTGACTTGACCTGCGAAAAGGCAGCTAAACAGCTACATCGCGAAACGGAGAGAGAAGGGCAAAGGAAGTGCAAAATGAGCCTGCTGGGGTTATGAGCCCAATGTCTCCTGTGTGGAACCTCAGGGTTCTCACTGCTCACCAAAGCGAAGCGTCTTCCCTGAGGCTCTGAGGCGGCCGGCCACCCGTCCTTGTCAAAGTCCTCTGCCTAATGCTTGTGCTGAACATGTCTGTGATCATCCGTGCTCAATCAGGCGCGATTAGGGCAGCAAGCAAAGGCATCAATGCATGCCTGACACTATCTTCATTTCCTACATGGTCCGACCAAGTCACAGTTTTGTCCGGAAGCTTGTAATAACCAGATCCAACGGACAAGCCTGGTTGGGGCAACATAACAAACTTGCTTTGTCGCAGACTCGTCGTCTGGGCGGGATCAACCCACATCGACACGGAAGTCTGCGCAGCGCCTTTGATCCAGACTTCGCCACGGCCACGGCAAGGATCCCCGAAGTGATCCTTCGCTTTTGAAGGCTCTTCGCGCTTTGAAGCAAACAGCCGGCGGAGCCTCATCCGTGCAGAGGTACGGCTTGCCCGAGGAGTCGCTAAGCTCTGGCCTGAGCTGAGGAAGCGAAGGCAGGGAGTGTTCTCTCTTTGCTTTGCACACTCTCTCTCTCCTCTCTCTCTCTCTCGTACTCTCTCTCTCTCTCTCTCTTCTTCCACACCGTACTCTTGCTTGCTTGCTTGCTGGCGGCTTCGAAGGAGCACACTCGTGAGCGCACCCCTCCACGCAATGCGCGCAGCCGAGTCCAAGGTCTGTTCGGGGTCACCTTTGTGTGTCCCCCGGATTAGAACTACAAATGTCCAAGGGAGTTCCGATCAACAAAACCTCTATAACTCAGCGAGTCTAGCCACCACTTCGGAACAGCATGGACATGTGTGTTTCTCCTCCCGTATTAAGAGGAACAGACTGAAAAGTGGAGTAGCCTTGTTGCTCCAAGGTTCCCCAGCAAGTGTACTCTCTCTTTTCTTTCGGCAGGGTTATGGGCAAAGGGGTTTAGGGTTTAGGGTACTCTCTTCTTCTTCTTCAACAAAGCCAAAGGGCAGGCGCGCAAGCCCCTACCGTCGCGCACGAATGCACCCTGTCGGTCTTCGGTTCACACTACAGTCACAGGATGAGGCCTGGCGGAAGGGACCGTTGCAACCAAACCCCCCTATCCATGAAAACCCCCACTACATGGTGCAGCGTCGCTCGACCACCCCCCCCCTCCCCCCTATGGTTACCCCCCCTTACCTGTTTACGTGGCTAACATCCCCTCATCGCCCTGTGGTGTGGTGGTGCGTTTTGGGTTATTTAACCCCCGCCCCCCCTCCTCTCCCCCTGGTGGTGGGTTGTGGGTTTCAGGTTTAGTGTTTAATCCTTTCCCCCCTCCCTGTGGTGTGGTGGTGTGTGTTGGGTTTCGGGCGTGGGGTTTGCATCCCCGCCCTCTCTGTGGTGTGGGTGGTGGGGTTGTTTAGGGTCTAGGTGTATAGATATGAAAGGGTTTAGGGTTGAGGGTCAGCAGCTGGGCGCGGCACAGACCGAAACCGAGTGCCGCCACTTTGAACACGCCACGAAGCTGCGTAGCTTCAGAAGTCACAACACTGACGAGGATCCCAGGTTAGAGGCCCATCCCTGTGACTGTTGGCACTTTTGAGACAAAAGTGCGACCCTCACGAGGATTTCGGGTGTATACATGGTACCCCCCTGTTAGCCCCCCTAGTATGCCTCCGGCCCCGCCCTGTGCTGCGGGTGGTGGGGTTGTTTACATGTGTTGTTCAACCCCCCCTCG